AACAACACATTATTACAGAAAGTTTTCCTGACTTGTGACTTCCTGCCACATCTTAATAACACAATATAATACGAAAGAATGTCTCTGTCATTTAGTTCAGTTGAATACATCACAGATCCGTTGTGTTGAGATTTCCACCAAAATTTTTAAGACAAGAAGATTAAATTAATTACAGTGTATCTGGTGACACACCGATAGATTTTAATAATTTTAGAAACACATTCCACATCAATTCGACTTGAATAAGAGAATCCTGAAAAACAAGAGGGAATTTTGTAGCTGTCTAGTCCAACTGTTTAACCTACTACATCATCAGGGATCTAATTCAACCAGTTCATGAATGTGTTTGGACAATAGAAGTATCATCGCAAGTGAGACGACCGATTCACACACCATTCATCCACAGGATCAGGACGTGATAGTACAGGAATTTCAACTTTTTCCCATCGGTTGTATAGCACCACTATCTCAACCATTGCAAATATCTTTGACTCCCTGACTAATTGACTGGACTGGTTTCAACATAGACCTTTGCACTGTTGTGCAGTAGTTCTAGTCATTACACTCCATGTAGCACACAAAGCAAAAGAAGAAAGTAAAAGGAAATGCAAAACGGAGACATTCAAAAGCGACATGAGGCAAAAAGAATAGTAATTTGTAAGAACAATATAGTTTTATTGGGTATTATAAGTCGCAAGGAGTGGATGCATCTGTGCTAACCATTGAGGACGACGGCTTTGAACCATATCACCGATAATTGTCTCCAGCTATTGGTGTTTACCATCCCGAGGACCCCTAACCAACCAGGAAGTCTACACCTCCTGACGTGGTTTCAACTAACTTTTATGGATTTTATTGACTGATGAAGCCGCGTTTTGGTTTGACCACCACCAATATCTCTTTTCTAACATTACCCTACGTCAGCCAACTGTCTGTCTGTTTTCGACATAGAACTTTGCACAAATGTGCGGAAGTTCAAGTCGCCACACTCCGTGTAGCACGCGAAGCAAGAGAAGAAAGTACAAGAAAAGCATATTAGAGACAGTGAGTAGAGATGTGAGACAAAGGAGTAGTAACGAAGAACAAAACAAGTTTCATTGGAGATCATAAGTCACAAGGAGTGGATGCATCTGCGCCACTGAGAACGATTTTGAGCCATGTCACCAATTGTTTCCAACCATAGATTTTTACCGTCCCGAGGACCCCAGCCTGGAAGTCTACACCCTCCCACGTGGCTTAGACCAACTGTTGTGGATTTCATTGACTAGTGCCAAGTTTTTGTTTGACCGCCGCTAGCTTTTTTCCAGCCTGACCCTATATCCGCTAACATTGCTTGTCGAGGGAGGCGATGACTTGGCTTACGCAACACATATCCTAACCATCTCAGTCTTTGTAACTTCACGACTTCGTCGATTGATTTCCCCTGTTTACCTAGAACTCGACGCCAGCCAACACTGCCCGTCGAGGAAGGCGATGGCTACGCATGTGAGCAAATATGTTTGCTTACTCTTAATGTGGTAGTCGCCAATGGTCAGTAATCCTCATCAGAATTCCTCAAACTTTATCCCGTAATCACTGGCTAATATTTGAGAATTACCAGGTAGCTCAATAGAGAATGTTAAGTTATCTGTGTACATTGCCCAATACACAGGAATTTATTGCTTGAAGTTTCAACTAGTAACGTAAACATTCATGAGGAAACATCTTTCATTCAATCTAAATTTTTTTTGTTTTCCTTCATGATCCCAATGGAACATAGGGCTTCAAGCTAGTGGCTTGAAGTTCCTGTACCAGTGTTTATTTTTACAGGATGGGGTTGCTAGCCTCATGCCCAACCTTTCCCCTTTACCAGCTTTTATTTCTGGCTTAGCGAGGCAAAGGAGTGCATCGGCCGGGGATCGAACCCCGGACCATATGCATGGTCGGCAAGCGTCCTAACCGCTATGCCACCGACGCCAATCTAATTTACTATTGTGAAATATTCACCTTTCCAGTTACTAAAGAGCTGAACTATAAACCTACAACCTCCTGGTTAGAATCCAAGGTACGATGAAGATCTTCACAACAACTTCTACCATCGACAATTAAACTGTCAACACCTTCATATTCAGATAGACAGCAATATCCCTGTTAACTGTTCTTCCTTTAGAAGTATACACGAGCAAATAATAAGAAATTTGAGTGCATGGAAGATTTCATCATGAGCTAACATCAGTTAGAGAACCACTGGGAAATCTGAGAGTACTGGACAACAGTTTCCTCCTAGTTTGAGACTCTTCATCAGTACGCAGCCACCCCAAGAGGTTCGAACCCATGACCTTCTGGTTACAAGACTAGCGAGCTCGTAAACCACTGAGCCACTGGGACCCTATCCAATGGTTCTTGAAGTCTTACTTCTGCCGATTCACGACATAGCATGACTATATCTCAACGTCTTCTTCGATGAGTTACTGCCCCACCTTCGACTTGCTGTACCCTACTGGTCACGGCTTCCCACTAGAGCCCCAGGTTAACTGCCTGAATAGGGCCAGTCGCTAGTGAGCATCAGATTAATTTTCAAGTATTGGTTCAAGAACCGTTGGATCGAATCCCAGTGACTCAATGGTCTACGGGCTAGCTCACCTTGTAACCAGAAAGTCCTGAGTTCGAACCCCGCTGCGTGCGTGCTGATGAAGAGTCCCAAACAAAGGCTGAACAAGCAGCTCTACAGTACTCCTAGCTGGTTTTCCAGTGGTTCTCTAACTGATGTCAGCTCATGATGAAATCGTCCATGCAATCAAACAAAATCCCTACAAAACCAATACTTGAAAATAAAGGAAATTTCTTATATTTAAATTCACTTTGTAGATTTTTATCAGTAAATCACTATATTAATTAAATATGGTTCAAATTCTTCCGACAGAAATTCACTCTGTACCCAATAATACGTTTGTATCTGTCTTTCTTCGATAAAGTTCAGTTGAGTTAGAAACGACATCGTCAATTGGATTGCGTGGGCAGATGTATGAAAGAAGATTTTTACTCTTGTTTTGAAAATTAGATAACAAACGGAAAAGGAATGAACAATTAGAAATGTAGTGAACAGCACAAAACAACAGAAGAAAGATGACAATAGATAGATAGATAGATAGATTATACACACAGAGAATAACTCTGTCTCATTCCAATCTGAGTTCACTTTGTACACGTCGGTGTCACTTTCTTCTGCTTCTCTCTTTCTTGTTGGCATGTTTGTTGGTGTGCTTTTTTGTGTGTTGTTAGACGATAAAGCCTAATTGCATGGAATGTGGTCAGCTCATATGGATGAGAAATTGCAATTAAAATAGTTGTTTATTTCAACTGAATGAAAGAGAAGTTTAAGCGTATACGCATCGATTATCACTACCTAGATGTGGGTATTAATATTATTATTCACTTGGTTTCCGAATAGAGCATAGGGTTTCAGCAACACATCTCCACTTTGATCTATTTTTTTTGTCGTCTTTACCTGGACCCACGGCTGCTCCTAATCTCTGATCTCTTCCATATTAACTCATCGTTACCCCTTTGCGATTCCACTCAAGGTACTGCCTGCGATGAGCGCCATATCATTCAACTGTCTCCTTAACGTATGCTCAAATCCATCTCCACTTTCTCTACATGTTTTTTAAGCAATCGGCTATTGGTTGGTTTATTCCAGCTAGCTAGAGTTTCTTATTACTGATTCTTTCCCGTTGGCCAGCTGATCACTTGATCTTCAGTATGCAGTTGGCGAAGACAGATCCTGGTAAAATCTGGGATAGACTGACTGTTGGCACGCACATCAAGTTTCTGAGCCATATATATATATGAACTGACTGACTTCACATTTGTGTTGGGAATCCGAATCTTCTTCTTTATGACTGCTCACTGAGTTAGTGCAGAAGATTTCCAAACTGGTTTCAGGTCGATAACAGGAGAATCTTGTCTTTCCGACTCTGGCTGGCTGGTTTTAACATCTTCATCCGCTTTGTTGGATGTAGTTGAAACGATGCTTCACAGATAAGTGTAGGAAGTAATCCCTGTCAAATCCCTGCCATTCACAGCGATTGGTGCTGGTTGTTGTTACTGTTGGTTGGTCAGCTATCTTCATCACCTCCATCTTCTCTATGTTCACCTGAATGGAGTCCTGTCTTCGCTGGCTGCCTTTTCAGCCAGTTTGTTGGCTTTTTGACTGCAAGTCTTTGCGTTTGTGTGACATTAGACATAAAACTTTCGCGCTCGAAATCCTGATCTTCTAGATGGAGTTTTCTTATCGGTCCAACCTATTTCTATCTTCTCACTGCTCAACTTTTGATGAATAATCCCATCCAACACAATTAGGAATATCATCAGTGATAATAGGAAGGCAGCGTTGTCTTACTACTGTATTCACTTCAAATGCCTCGCTGAGTTTTCGGTTGTGGATCACCTGACACGTGGTACTGCCGTTTGGCCAGCTACTGAATAAGATTGATAAAACATTTGAGGCAACGCACTCCGTGTCCTTGAAGTATTTTCCAATCTACTTCTCAGTAAAAGCGGTCGAAGGCTTTTTAAAAGTCGATGAAAAGGAGGTAGAGTGAGATGTGACTCCCATTCTATGCTTTGTTCGATGGCGATAATTATCCTTAGAGTTATAATTTGATCAGCACATGATTTACTTTTCCAGCTTATTGTGAGTGGTGGAGTTCTGCAATTAATGAATCTTTCATTCTCTTCAGGATGACCTGAAAAGAGCAAGATGTGTCAGCATGCAGTTGGCGTACAATTAACTGCTCGTAATCCCTATCAAATGTCAACTCATCAACAGCTAACGTTAACCACCGTGCATAAAAATAAGAATTCAAAACTATTTTCATTTGTAAATATTTCAAACTAGATATATTTGCAAGGAAAGTGTTCATTCTCTTAAAAATAAACTACAAGTAATAAGTACAAAATATTAGAAAGAAAATCTTCACGTTTCTGGATATCATAAAAATCAACATTGCACATTTCATTTATTCAGATGGTAATCTGGAAATAATCTTGGCAAACCACGACTGCAATAGAGTGGCACGTTTGTTCGCCATCTCTAACACTTCTTCAAGATTCGCACACACTTTACTGTCAACGTCCAAAACGCTAATATTTGTCACTAATGAAATTGCAAGTACTTTCATTCCACAGTGACGAGCGAATATCACTTCAGGGATGGTACTCATACCTGGAATAGAAATAGGAAATATTTAGTGGATCACATCACTACGCATTTCAATCGGATATCATTGATATATTTCAACAGTCATCAAGCCCCGTTCATTTCAGTTTAGGTCAACAGATTCTCCAGCCATGTGGCTTCTTCACACCCAACTTTGCCGATTGTTTCAGACACCAAAGCCATATTTATTCCGCCTATTCGTTCACCTGATGACTCATGTTTCGGCCTTGTTCTCATCTCCACCAAACAGCTGTGCAGATTCGGTGATCGATAGCACCATTCCTCAGTAGCACTTTCTATAGACACATGCTACATTAATGCGTTGTATGCAAGAACTTCAAACTTACCCAGTCAGATACTTCCAGTTTTCCTTTTATATCTCCACTATGCTAGTCACCAAAACTTATCTTCATATTTTTAACGAAACTGTGTTTTTCACTTACCATCGAAATGACACTTTCTCGTGTACTTCTGGTCTACATGAGCATACTCCTTCGTACCTGTTTTGTAACCTTAAAGTCCATCTAGTTTAGTAGAGTTTGTTTTGCCCCAGTCCAGCTTAGTCTTCATAATACTATCCTGTTTTAAACAATCCGTACATACAACACACTGTTAGGTTTGAAAATAAATTCTCTGAGAATTTCGGTGTTACTGTTGACTAACACAAATCGCTCAGAAAATAATTCACTTACCAACAACATCACAACCCACCATGAGCATCATTTTGCATTCAGCAGGTGTTTCAAAACATGGACCAACATTCATTCCGTAGACACCTTCATGAACAACATCTTCAAAATTTTCCTCTTTCGCTACTTGTAAGGCTAACTTTCTCAGGTCAGAGTCGTAGGCATCTGAGAGTGCTGGAAATCGAGGGCCAAATCTAGAGATGAAAATTACTAAAAACAAAAGTGACCTACTTGTCTTCATTTTCACCAACTAAAACACCACTTAACCCAAGACCAGCAAAGTAAAGATGGTCTTTCAGAACAACGAAATCTCCACCTTTAAGATCTCTGTTTAAACCACCAACAGCATTGCTCAACAATAAAGTTTTCACTCCCAACAGCTTCATGACGCGAATAGGAATGGCTATCTACGATAAACATCTAAAGATTTGTATTAGAATGGTTACTTCATGTCTTGTCCATCCTTCATACATGTGGAATCGTCCCTGCATCACAACCACTTTACGGCCACTCAGCGTTCCGAAAACTAAGTTTCCGGGGTGTCCTTGTACTAAAACACTTGAAAAATATTTCAAAATACTTACCAGTCGAATTTGCGAACCCGGGTATATCTACATATGGGATAACTGTAGGATTTTGAATCCCATTAGCTAACTCCCCAAGACCACTTCCACAAACAATGCCGATTTCTGGCTCAATATTTATCAACTTTCTGATGTGATCTGCCACATCGGAAACATTTTCATAGCTTGCAGTGATTTTAAACGACCTGGAGATTCACGAACATTATCAGAAGTAACAAAATTTACATTTTCTTGTATTGTACGTGTGTCTGGCTGAAAATGACAAAAAATTAACATCAACTGTCTTGTAAACTTGTTTCAACAGGGAACTCATACTGACAGCGCTTGAATGCGCACTTGTGCAGAATATACATGCACCAAAACGAAAGCACACTGAACATGAACCGTCAACTCTAGACTTGTTAGTAGCACACAAGAAGGAGGATGTCGGTGAGATTAAGTGCCTGACAGCACTAAGCAGTAATGACCATACAGTTATCACTTTTACGTTTAAGATTCACGATGTCATACATAGGTCAATAGCTACTCGTCCAAATATTTGGAAAGCGAATAAAGTTGCAATCCGAAATGCAGCAACCCTAGGCGACTGGTCTGTTGATACACACCAAACTGTCAAGGAAGGTTGGATAGGATTTAAGAATACACTAGACTGCGTCACTGCGCCTTTTGTACCTTGGTCTACGTCTCGAAAACCATCGCATAAGCAACCTAGGATTAGTAATAAAATAAGAAGGTTATTAAGAAAACGAAAGAACTTATTGGACCGGTTTACTGTGACGGGAAGGGATGAGTTTCCGATGGAATACCGCAAAATTCGAAACCTTTGTAAGTATATGATTGACACAGTCGTTTGGTGTATGAGAGACAGTTAGTACTGGGTTGTGTGCATTACCCACAAAGATCGTACTCGTATATCAAACGTAGAACTAAAACTAGCAGTGGTATAGTATCACTCATAAGCATTACTGAGGAGGTGGCTGAGTCAGACAAAACAAAAGCTGAAAAACTTTCGAAATACTTTTATAATGTCTTTTTGTCTAATCGTACCACTTGAGGGTATAGCAAGGTTACTGCTGTTGCCACTAAAACGCCCCCAATTGTGGTAGAGGATGCAGTGGTTCTCAAGCTACTGTATAAGCTGAAGCCAGGTAAATCACTGGACCCGACGGACTTCACCCTAGACAGTTAATCTTCTTAGCAGATATAATATACATTCCACTTACGGAGATTTTTCAGATATCTCTGACCCAAGCAAGGCTACTCAGGGACCAGAAAGATGCTTTTATAAGCCCCATCTCCAAATAAAGGAGCAGACAGTTAGTATCTAACTACCGGCCTGTAAGTCTGACCTGCATTATGGTGAAGTTATTAGAAACACTCATAAGGGATCAGTTCTTAGCTCATATAGAGAAACATAGCTTACTGGCGGTAGAACAGCATGGATCCCGATCTGAACGGTCCCGCCTGACAAACTTACTGTTAGCTAGAGAAGATTGGGTCAACGTCAGGGATAAGAACTATCCACAGGACGTTGTCATTATCGATCTTAGTAAAGCATTCAATAAGGTATCCCGTTTAGGTTTTCTTAGTAAGTACAAATGTTCTGGATTGGACTAACGCCAGTGTGAATGGTTTAGCGACTACCTGATGGATACAAGGCAGAAGGTAAGCGTTAATAGTGTACTGTCATGGTGGAAAGCAGTACTGAGTGGAGTACCTCAGAGGAATATACTTGACCCCCTGCTTTTGCTATTATATGTAAGTGGACTGCCGGAAATGTTTACCTCATCTTCCTTGTTATTTGCCGACAAAATTAAGATGTGGAAAACTGTTAATAATGGTGATAAGTTGAAGCTACAAAACGATCTAGATGAATTAGCTGAGTGGGTTAACCTCTGGAGCCTGAAAAGTAACTCCAAGAAAGAGTACAGTAATTCACCTAGGTCAAAGATCTTACACATTGTACTCCCTGGGGGACACAGAATTGCCAGATGTTAAGGGACAAAAGGACTTAAGAATTATTGTAAGCCATGACTTAAAAACAACGGCAAATTGTAATGGAGCCGCAGCTAAGGCTTTTCGACTGCTATGGCCAATTGTGGTGATTGACTATTTCTGTCTCTGTATTATTTAAATACTTACTGTTGATTGTTAATATGTTTCTTATATGAAGTGAATAATAATTCCGCTAAATACAAATTCCTGAATTCATCCCTCTCTGTGTTTTGGTTGAATTCTTGTAATTCGGTCATCTCGAAATACTAATACTACGATTACAAATAATCACTACACCACTTTGAAGGGCTTTCAAACTATTAGACCAGTATTGTTATCCAAAGTACTCTATGCAACACATATTAAGCCCCATCTAGAATTCTGCATACAAGCGGTGAGTCCAAGCTTCACAAAGGAAGTACAGAGGGTAGGAACCAAATTATTTACTGCCATCTCGAAGCTTCCTCACGATAAGTTAATTAAGCATCGAAATCTCTTCCCATTATCATACTGAAGGGAGAGAGGTGACTTAATTTCGGCACACTCTATTTTAAAATGTGGTTTAAAGATCGACATTTCAGATATTTTCGCTTCATCTTGGATACATTTATGAGGTCATTAGGGGATGCTCAAACCGATATGGAGTGAATTACGTGTGGAATTTAGATTCTCTCACCGAGTGGTCAAAAAAGCAACTCCTTAAGAGGGCAATTACCTGACTCAGTCGTAACAACTCCATCAGTGAACGCTTTCAAAGAGAAATAAGATTTCTGCAGAGATATATGTCAAGGATTAACGTACGCAACAAGAGACTTCAGTCCTTACATTATAAATTTGAAACAATACATTAGCCTGCAAGTCACACTGACTGCCAAAATATACCATGGTATATGTATGTATACATCAAACAGTAAAAGTACTCTCTCATCCGTCTAAGTTCATTGTCGAAAGTTACATGAGTGTAAAAAATTAGTCAAAAGCAACTGCTCCTACACCTGTTAATACATAGTCACTATTGAGCAAAGAATATTCTTTTCGATAAATTCCTCTTCCGGCTCTCTCTCTCTCTCTCTCTCTCTCTATATATATATATATATATATATATATATATATATATATATATATATACAGTCCACTAAAGATACTTAAATTATAACAGTAATAAAGATATAATAGCGAATAGAATATCAACTAAAATGAGGGAAATTGCACAAGAATTCAGGATAATTCAAACCTGGATGGCCAAGGTAATGATATTGTCTGAACTAACTTCTTTTGGATGCATAAATTAGGCTTGTTAATGTGGATCCCAACAGCCACTCTCAGCAATATTTAGTAGTCGAACTGTTAAGGAAAAATTGAGATTCGTAGGTATGCCGTAAATGACACTGAAAGCATGGTTGACGTCAATCTTGTGTTCTTTCTCCACAAGATGAGACAAAATAGCGCTACAAATGGATTTTGTTTGTCCTTTGCTTAACCAAGCAGGGTGATGTTCGGAAATTCGACGAGAAACACGCCTAATTGTACGGCCTATGTAAACTGCTCCACAGGAGCAGTTAAATTGGTAGATACACATGGATGAGGCGAAATTAGGCAGTTTGTCTTTTCCTCCCGAACGCAGAAGAGGAGTGGTTTTAAAGATACAACGTAATTCCACAGCAGGGAATGCTCCTTTCACCGCATTTCTAATGCGCTGTGTTAGTATCTCGCTAGTGTTGTCCCCAAGGAACTGCATCTGTAACAAAAAGGCCTTTTTTGGAACCGTTGGTAACTTCGGCTGCTTTGGTTTCAAATTCATATTCTTATCAATAAACTTTCCAGGATAACCATTCTCGCTTAGCAACCATTTAATATTATTCAGTTCTTCATCAAGACATTCGTCCGAGCAAATCACTCTTGCTCTGTGAACCAGGCACTTTATCAAATTGCGTTTGTATTTCAAGGGCGCAAAACTGAGAAAATTTGTGTACTAGCCCGTTGACGTAGGTTTTCTATAAACACTTCTTATTGTGCATCCTCTTTTCTGGTCATATTTATTGCAGGGTGTACCTCATTAAATTTTTCCAGGATGCTCTTTGCCTCCCTCTCGTTTTTCATAATCAAAAAAGTATCATCCATGTACCGACAATAAAATTCGAGTTCACTAATAACATCCTTCAGAGGCCCATTTTATAGTTTCGCAAGGAAAATGTCGGCTAGGATGGGTCGTAATGGTGACTCCATTGCCACACCGTCAATTCGTCCATACAGTTCCTTATTAAATAAAAAGTGGATATTCATATATATAATTGTAGAGCCAGAAGAGGAATTTATCAAAAAGAATATTCTTTGCTCAATTATTTTGTCTTTTATAGATGTCTGATTGAATATTTTTGCTATGTAGTGATTATATACCATTACACAAATTAATTAATTTGTATAATGGTAATTAATTAATTTTCACAAGAAGAAATGAATTATCATGAGTCTCACGTATTCGCAGGAAAGTTAGTTAATTATTCAACAGCACAAACAAACCAAATGCGAGAAAGTGGTATCAAACAAAGAGAAACTCGACTAACTTACATTTATACAATGCAAAACCACGCATACCCTTGGATTCAAAAGTGTTATATACCCATCAACTGACCTTGAAAGCCTGACGACAATGTCATTATCGCTGGTCATTGGATGCTTCAAACTCCATATATTACAAAAAACGAAAACCATGGGGTTTTTTCATTTAGTTATATTGATGGTTTATAATTAGGGTGCAGACATTCCACGTTGATTTCCTCTTCGAGCATACATAACTACCTTCTGAA